TAAATTCAACTTGGTGGTTTCCTTGTGATCGCTCCTCATTACCGAAACCTACACATGGAGCCTAGAACACATCAGCAGTGGGCTGAAAAGCATCCCCCAGGCATTAGCGAGACCTCTGACTCCTCTCAGCGGGTCTTGAAATATGTTCAACGTCTAGACTAATGGACTGAGCGGCCATCGGAGGGAGTGTGTGTTCTTGTTTGGTCAGCAAGGAAGTCATCACCTCCTCATATGTTATTCCCTCGGGCTTTCTGCCAGGGTTTCTGATAAAAAATGGGCCAGACTCTTCTTTCTGAGTTAATCAGGATCTGTTCTGATGGAACACGGTGCCTGCTGAGAGGGGGGGATTTGCAGATTCTCGGTCTCCATGTGGCTTCTGAGGGCTTCGCTGGACACCAACAACTCTCGTGTGCTCTCATTACTCATTTCCCACCCAGGCCGGGGGTGTGGGGCAGCTGTGCTTGGTCCAAATACGTTACATATCATCTCAATACAGAGCCCAGACTTCTTGCAACGCTAGCTGGAGCCTTCATTTATAAAATTAGGCATTTTTGTTGAGATCATTTCTTGAAAGTAAATGATGCCATCTAGACTCACGCTTGCCACATTTCTGCCTACACATTTTAACATACATTGAAAGGAGACCCAAATCCAGCGACTTTGGACAAAATATTTAAATTATTTGCCCTGTTTTGTTTTGTTTTGTTTTGTTTTAATCTGTGATAGGAAGAAGGACGGTAAGTTAGGTGATCACTAAGATTCTCTCCTTTCTTCCCCACCACCAGGCACAGCAATCTTTAATAGCAGGGAACAGTTCTCTTGGAAAAGGGAATAAAACCAGCCCCTAGAAAGTGTTGCATCATGATAGATCTTACTTGTTATTAAGTTTACCAAGATGGCTTCATCGTTATAATTCTAATATGCATAAACGTAATAGCTACTCAATACTCCATTACTTGTGTCCAAGGACAGTTGGTGTGCTTGCTTCAAAAAGAGACATACCCCCCAAATTTAGAGATAAGTTCAGTAAACCTTACTCTCCGACTAGTATGATAAAAATCATTATAAGATAATGAGCTTAACCACCTGAGTAACCACTCTCCAATATGGAAAATTGAGAGATGTCTTTCACACGAGATTCCTTCATTTCTCCATTCCACTAAGGAGCTGTGGGTCTGTCGTCAGTTTGGAAAGTATCTTCAGGGAGACCCACGAGGTATGTCAGTAGTTGGAAGGAAGCTTTAATCCCATCTTCGGTGAGTCCCTTATTGGTTTCGAAGTGGTATTAAGGTCAACAGCTTACGCGGAGATCAGGCACGGGATGGCAGTGAATGGGGATGCAGCGTCTGCCCAGGGAAAGTGGCCAGGGTCCCTGCTGCCAGGAACCCAGGGAGGTGAGCTGCCCTGGAGGACTGGGCCTCCCCCTCCAGCTTCTTCTCCCAACGTGCTGGCTCGTGAACCCGCCTTCTGATGCACAGGGGCCTCCCTAACAGCCCCAAAGTGTGTCAACAAGAACAAGGAAGACAGGCAACCTTCTGTAGCCACTTCTATGTGCTGAGAAGTGCTCAGAACACTGTGCTTACATCATCTTAGCCAATCCTCCTACAGGCTCTGGGACATACCCTCTATACTAGTCACTGCACTCCAGGGACACACAGCAGTCTGCTGACCTGCCCGAGGCCACAAGCTGGTGAGTGGGAACCCAGGATTGGAGGCCAGGTGGGAAACCCTGGGGCAGCGCAGAACCCTCTGTCAAGAAGCTCCTCAAAGAGGGCAATAGGCTCAGCATCATGTGGGAGGTTCCTAGAAGTCCCGCCTCTCTGGGGTCACCTGGGCTACTGCGTGGGGACCACATTGTCCCAGCGTCCCTGTGAGATTTGCTTGTGAGTGGACTTCACAAGTGAACAGCTGCTTCAGGCCACAGGGCCACTGCAAAGTTCACAAGCCGGCGGCTGGCAGTTAAATGATCCGTATTAGCTGTACGGCAGTAAAATTTATATAAACTCTTTGGGAGTTATGCAATCTTTAAAACAAATGGAGTGGCTAAAACAGTTCCTTTATTTTTAATAAAAACGGCGGGGCCTTTAGTGAGCTGGGAGGCAAGACATCAGCGAGGACATTCGGCTCACGCCGAGCGCCAGCTCTCCCCGGCCGGCTGTGATCAGGCAGGTGGGTGGCCGCCGCCTCCCTCTGTGTCCCTCGGGCTCTGCCTGGAAGGCGCACTTCACCAGAATGTCCCCGGTCTGACTTGCATCCGTGCTCCTCCGGCCTTCTGCAGGCTTGTGGCTCTAGCTGCGTGACCCTCGGCTTGGTCAGCAGTGGGTCTCCTGTTACAGGACAGGTGCGCTGCAGGCCCTCCGAGCGCCAGGAATGCATGAAACAGGAGCGACTCGGGGCTGTAGGAGTAACCCCGCTCCTTAGGGTCAGGTGGTGAGACCAGGGCCAGCATTCATCTCCATGCAGTCGCTCTCTCTCTCTCCCTCCCTCTCTGCCTCTCTCTCTGTCTCCCGCGCTCTCTCTCAGCTCCCTCTCCTCCCTCCACCCATTTCCTTCAGCCTCAGGGCACCTTCAGGCTAAAGGTGCTTGAGTCACTCAATGGGTGGCACCAGAGCCTCCTCTGAGTCAGGGTCCCAGCTGGGTGTGGAATACCAGGATCTAAAACACAGGATCTGCCCTCAGGCAGCTTAGTGTCAGGTGCCTGAGGACATCTTTCACAAGTAGGGGCCCAAAGGGGTGAGGAGGAGGATGGTGGGGGGGGGGTTCCCACCAGCCCGGGGGCTCTGAATGCAGCTGAGAGTCACAGGGCTGCCCCTCCTGTGGCTGCCTGCTCCCCCGAGCTCAGGCAGAGCGCTGGGGAGACAGGCACCTGCAGCCCTCTCCGCTCGCCTTGCCGAGCTGGGGCAACGCGGCTTTCTGCACGTTAACCGCGCTCCCATCCTAGTTCCCACAGTGGTGGAGACGCAGGCCGTGGGGCTTCCTCGAGAATCCCCTTTGTGGTCAATTTCACGAAGTCAGTGCAAAGTAGTAACACGAACCGCGAGGAGGAACCAGCGTCGAAAGCTTTGTAGTTTAATCTTCTAAATGGAATTTCTAACATCCTAGGAGTGTGATGGGAGAGTGAGTACAATGCCCTGTTTTATATTCTCCAGACACAGAACCGGGCAGGCTTGCTGTTTGCAGTAGGAGTAAAGGAGGCAGAGGTCCCGGAGCCGTCAACTAACCCTTCGGAGGAAATGGAAACCCTCCCTCACAGCGTGGGGACCCAGGCAGAGTGCAGTCCAGCCCTGATGGCAAACCCAACAGAATTCATTACTGCTAACATGGAGAGCTGCACACATGGGTGCCTAGGCTTCCGTAACCCCCAGTACAGTCGGCATCTGAGTGGTCCATTCCATTAGGCTTTTTTGATATTGACAGTGACAGGTTTATAAATAAAATATTATTGGGTGTCCCAGAGGTCTTGGTGGCTCTTGGACATAGTGCCGTATTCATACTCTGAGCCACTTGATGCAGGGGAACACCTTGTCTGCTACAATTTGCCTCCTAAGTTGTAAGTGACAATATTATTTCAGAGTGAAGGGAAAAGGACCCCACCTCCTGGGATCCACAAAGACAGAGTGTAGATCCAGGGGCTGAAATTATCCATGAGTTAGGAGATTTGCAATATGTTTACCAGAATTATTTTTTGTTTATAATTAGCATTGCTGTTACATTAGTCTGCATAAAATAATAAGGCAAATCAGTCTTCAGATTTCCCTGGACACCCCACAGTGTAAACAGCAATTATTTACATTGTGGAGTCTGCATTTATAAATGGCATGAATTCCCTCTCTTCAGGGCCAAGGAGCATCATAAATCAAGATTATGGAAGTTAAATTTAAACACTGAATCTTGTCTTTTCAATCGAGGAGGATATCGATGGAATTAAACAATGAATCTACTCAATGCTATCATCACTCCTGTTTGTTCTGACTGCATGTGGTTTTCCAAATAAATGGAGCCCTCAGATTTAGATTATATCCATGTAACACAAAACGCACAGGGATTTCAAATCATTTGATTGACTTCATCAGAAAATATCTTGATATCTCAACAAGTCAATACAAAAATTCACTGGGGCCCTGCTAATCTATTTTATTATATGTATTAAAGAATCGCTTTTTCTAATTTCCACTTTAAACTGTGGAGGTGTTTGGAATATCTACATGGAAAAGTTAACTTCAGGGAAGGGGTGGTAAATTTGGCAGCGTGCCTAATTTGTTTGCAAAACAACTGGTAAATTTCGAGCTCCTGGTTGGTAGCGTGACAGGTTTAAATAGATATATAGATAGATTTAGGAAGCGAATAGAGTCTGTCAAGTATTCTAAATATCTGAAACAGGTTCCAGTGTCTCGGTGAGGTGTGGGTGACTAGTCTTCCCTGGAAATCCTCCCACAGGACCTGTGCGATCCACGGGGGCTATGACACCTGGTGGGAGAGGCAGTTCTTCCCTCCTGGGCAAGCAGCCTGGGACCTGAGGAAGATGGTGGCCTCTGTGCATATTTTTCTCACGCTCACCTTTGGCCGGACGTAGCTTTGACCACATGAAGAGATCATTCCTGCCTGGGCTGGAAGCTCTGGCTGAGCAGCTTTATGACTGGCTCTCCATCTCACCTGCTAAAGCTCCGTGTCCGCAGGGCATCAAGCAGCGGGTCTGCCTGCGAGCCAAGGTGCAGAGCCTCTCACGGCCCAGCCGATTGGTCCTTTAATAGGTGCAGACCCCGTCCTGCTCCAACCCCCCACTCTTGCTCACCCAGCGAAGTCCAGACTTGCTAGCCTGGTCCTCAGGACCTGCCCTGGTTTTGCTCTGCCGGCTTTTCTGGTTTCTCACTGTGGAAGCAAAGCTGCTGCCATTACAAAGTCATAGACACATCACATCTCACATCACCTTCGGGGCAATAAAATAAAAATGACAACACCTTTATTTATTTATTTTATTGATTTATAGAGAGAGAGGAGGGGAAGGGGCAGGGGGAGAGGGAGAGAGAGAATGTTAAGCAGGCTCCACACCCGACACGGGGCTCGATCTCCCGACCCTGAGATCGTGACCTGGGCCGAAATCCGGAGTCGGGCGCTCAAAGGACTGAGCCACCAGGCGCCCCAGGGACAACTTTAATCCGGACTTGGGCGATGATGTCAGAGATGTAGCATGCCCCTCAGGGATGCAATCGTCCGGTGAGAAGATTGCTGTTTTTCCACCATGATAAGACTGTCAACTTGTGAGCTTCAGCACTGTCGTGTGCATGTGTCCATTCCATTCCGGGTCCCTTACGTGTTTTCTTCTTCCTCTTATCATTAAGTGAGCGACACCTTCGGAAGACTAGACTTCCCCGCACCTCCTTCAGGGGACGTCTTTGCTGGAGCTCTGATAAAATGCCTCTCTCGGAGTCCTGCTTTCCCAAATGGAGTTTCCACTGGGCTTTGCAGAGGTGACACCCCTAAAGGAGCGTGCTGCCCTGAACTCGCAGCGCCGTAGTGGGGCGCAGGGCCAGCCTGTGGTGTGCAGGCACATGGGTGTTCCCAGTCCCCAGGAGAATCCCACACGGCTGTCAAGTGCTTTTATTTCTGTCCTCAGTCTCCCTCCCTCGGTCTCCTTCTCTCCCCCTCTTTCCTCTTGGCTCCCTTTCTGTTCTATTTCTGGATTCAGTCAGGTTCTTGGCTGAGCTGGCTCTGCTTCTCTTTGAAGCCCAGGCCCTTCCACACCGCCGGGAAGCTTACGGTCTGACCATCTGTGGGGTCGCTAAGGACAGGGCGTGTGGTGTTTGTGTGTGTACGCGTGTGGGTGTGGACGTGCAAGTGTGAACTTGGCTTTTTGGTTCATGGGTCTGGGGGACTGTGATATCTTGGCATTTGAGACAAACATCAGCTTGCCAGTGCGTCACAAGGTATTGTTTCTGTAAGGACCATGCAAATCACACCTCGTCATCTACGTCACTCCCCACCGGGCTGACTTACCTTGTCCTCTGAAAACTGATAGAATCCTCTAGGTTTGTCTTTTTAGCAGATCACCAGGATCTGAAGTCACCCAAAAAGAAACCTTCTATTCCTTCTGGGAAGGAGGACAGGTCCAGGAGTTCATAATGGTAATGAACCAACGTTTTTGCGATTCTGCGTTTCTCTTGATGTGTGGCTGGGGAGATGCAGAGGTTTCTTGTTCTCTTCTTGACTGTCTAAGTGGGAAAAAAAGAGAGTTAAAACCGTGCCTTTCCCTCCTTTATTAAAACGATGTGTTTGTAACTGTAACCCACTTTGTTTCTTTGGCCAGCTAAGATATGTGCACTCTCTCCTCTCCCCTGTTCCACACACACATGCCACAGGTGAACTGGTCACAAGATCTGTCATCTGTGCATATTCTAAAGACACACACTTCAGAAAGGTGTATTTACTAATAAAGGGGAGGGGATGAAGAGCTAGGAGGAGAGAGTTTTACAACTGTTTTTTATACACGGCTTGCAGAACGAGCAGAAGACACAGAAGAGCATTTTCCTTCATGTGTTTGCAACAGAGGGACTGGCCGTGAACGTGGGGTGCAGTAGGAAGGCAGTTCCAGGGTGTCTGGCATTTCCTGGCTTCCCAAGAACCCCACAAGGTGATGATGATGACCACCTCTAGCCTCTCACAGAACACAAGGAAGCCCTAAGCCAACACTCAGATGAGCAAGTCAGCCCGAAAAGGAGGAACAGGGCTGACAACAAGGTACAGACAGACTCTAAATTTGCACCACTAACTTAGACCACAGTCCAGCTAGATGCGTGGCAAAAAGCCGCACACCATGACATGTTGATCTATAAACACCTGCCCCATTCCATAACTTGCTAAGGACTGGACTACATTCTTTGACAGTATTTGTATGAAATGTATTTCTAAGCAAACACATTGATATCTTCTCCTAGCTTCAGAAAAAAAAAAGTGATTATAAGATTTCATAAATTCAACAAAGCTTCTCTTCTGATTTGTTTTAGATATACTTTGAAGCATTTATATATTTAAGTGACCTCAACAATTTCTAAAAATTAAAAAAAGAAAAAAGTTGAATGTCAAACACCTCAAGCTGTCAACTTTTGACACTTTACTTATTTATTTATTTTTAAAGATTTATTTATTTATTTGAGAGAGAGAGTGAGAACTCGGGGAGAGCGTCAAAGGGAGAGGGAGAGAAGCAGACTCCTTGCTGAGCATGGAGCCCAATCTGGGGCTCGATCCCACACCCTGGGATCATGACCTGAGCCAAAATCAAGAGTTGGTCACTTAACTGACTGAGCCACCAGACAGCCCAATTTTTGATAATTTAGATATTTGCTTAAATCAGATGGAAACATTGTTTAGCTATAAGTCATGGTCTTGATGAATAAGATGCAAGATAAGAAAGTTTAAAAAAGAAGCAAATTTTTTTTTAAAGATTTATTTATTTATTTTTATTTGAGAGAGAGAGAATGAGAGAGAGCGAGTACATGAGAAGGGGGAGGGTCAGAGGGTTAAGCGACTGCCTTCGGCTCAGGTCATGATCCCAGGGTGCTGGCATCGAGTCCCCCATCGGGCTCCCGGCTCAGCGGGGAGCCTGCTTCTCCCTCTGACCCTCTCCTCTCTCATGCTGTTTCTCTCTCGCTTGCTCTCCAATAAATAAATAAATAAAGTCTTTAAAAAATAAATAAATTAATTAAATAAAATAAAATCCAAATTAATTTGTACTTCTAGAAAGTGTAGCCACTTTTTTTTCAATGTCTATCATATTATCTTTCTGTGCATAAAATATTTCAAATTATACGTAAAAATCATAAGTTAAAATAATTTGAATTGTACTAACTGATATTATTTGATCTGTTCCTGTGAACTGTGTAGAATTGTCACAGGTAATAAGATAGTGACTCAGGGGGATATTTACAGAAGACATTGAGTACATTTATGTCTGTTTATAAAAGTGAAATCCATGGAAATTTGTCTTAAAATATAAATATCATGTTATGCCAGAAAGGGAAAGAAGCTAACAAAAGACATATATGAGAGTGTAAAATAAGTATAAAAATACAAAAGGATATGAGTTTGGGTTTATGCTACTTGCAACTAATATATTTGGAAGGAGCAGTGAAATGTGTGAAAATTTTTACAAATTTGCTCAGTGTCAGTGAGCATAATTATAAAATGAGAAAAAGGCTTGTAAAAACTTGCTTGCAAATTATTGCACCGATGGCATAAAAAAAGAAAAAACCTAAATTTGAGACTTCTTTTCTGTTAAATGGCGATTTGATCTTTGAGTATATTAATATGCATTCTGCTCTGAACAGGAAATATAAATGTTATTCTCCACCTTGGTCACAGAATTCCTTATTTTTTTTTTTTAAAGAATTTATTTTTTATTTGACGGAGAGAGAGACAGTGAGAAAGGGAACATAAGCAGGGGGAGTGAGAGAGGGAGAAGCAGGCTCCCTGCCCAGCAGGGAGCCCGATGCGGGGCTTGATCCCAGGACCCTGAGATCATGACCTGAGCCGAAGGCAGAAGCTTAACGACTGAGCCACCCAGGCATCCCCAGAATTCCTTATTATCATCAAATTTTGTTAACGTTTATTCTTTCTGTGATGTTCATGAACTACCTTTGGTCTAAAGATCTTTATTATAATTATCATTATAAAAATCTAAAATCTCTAATAGTAATGGTTACCTGCTGCGGTGTTTTGTTTTATTTTAATTTGAGATTGGGACTTTAATTATTTCTTGCCTCTAAGTACTTATGACTTAGGTTTATTTACTGTCTTCTCTTCTAAATTTATGCCCTAACTTTGGAATAATAAGACTTTTAAGAAATCTTTTTTTTTATTTTAATTATCTTAAAGGGTTTCCTGATGGCAGCTGAGTCCCAGTTAAGATCAACTCCTTTACTTTATAAAAGGATGCTAGAAATAATTGGGTTGCATTGCCATTCTCCCGAGTTTTAATTCGCTCCATTTCCTTGTTGGAGCTCTGCTGGTTATTGAACCAACACAGAGTAGGCACATTAAAAAATGGAACTTGCTCTCTAACTTAATTGGAACGAAAAAAAGAGTCATTAACATGAAGATATATTCAGCCTTGTGTTTTTGCAGTTTGAATACTCACATGCACTTGTCACTTGTTGGCAATCAGATGGCAGGATTGATGGGACACATTACATATTCTGGAGATTTGCCAGTGTCCACACTGACCTTGGAGACTCACCATCTTAGATTTGCTTTTGATTTAATTCTTATCATGCGATTACACGTGTCCTTCGAAAGATGACCCACTCTCCTCTGTTTTAATATATAGTTGACCCCTGAGCAATGCAGGGTTTAAAGGCTCCAACCCCTATGCCATTGAAAATCTGTGACTTCTGAGCCCTCCAAAACGTAACTACTAACAGCCTACTATTGATTGGAATAACACCAATAACACGAACCGTCAGTTAACACATATTTTGTATGTTTTAAGTATTATATACTGTATTCTTACAGTTACCTAGAGAAAATAAAATGTTATTAAGAAAATCGTAAGGGAGAGAAAATACACTTACATTCCTATCCGGTATTTACTGGAAAACTTGTGGGTATAAGTGGACCCTCGTAGTAATGCTGTATTAAGGGTCATCGGAGTTGGTTATAATCAGTTTACCAGACCCATTCCACCTTGCTGAGCCCTGTGAACTGGTGTTTCCTCATCGCGTTACACTTGTCAGAAGACCTTGGCTCTGTGTGACAACCAGACCTTCAGTCTTCTGAAGAAACATCAAAGAACCACAGTAAATGACTAAAGGGGCTCCTGACCCTTTGCTCTACAGAGACTCTACTCAAGGACATTGACTTCACAGTGAAAGCTGATGCTGTCCCAGGGAACAAACGCTTTCATGTCCTATCCATGGACTAAATGAGAACTCCCAGAACTCATCCCAGAAACAGATGCCTGATGAAAGTCATCTGTTTAACACAAAATCATCATCATCAAAAATTAAAAAACATCATAGAGGGATGAAATGGACCTAAAAGATGGATTTAATTGGGATTAAAGTTCTGTTTTTAATGAGCTTATGAGAATCCCTCCTTTTTTGTCTTACTCTGACTCTGACACTAAGTTAAGGGACAAGAGTTGTTCAAACTGAAATGAGACATTCATTAAATAGTATTTTGTATGAACTAATCCTTCAGCATTGAGAAAAAGGAAAAAAAAATCTCCTGAAATTCCTTGTATAGATAATAAGCTAATAAACTGCTAGCACACTTAGTGATGCTAATACAAAATAATTACAGATTGTAATTGTCTGTGTCCACAAGCCTTTTCAAAAGATGATGCCAATGGCTTTGAATAATGTAAACAATTTTTCTAAATCTCTTTACTTCTCATGATGATGTAGTTACTTACACAGGTCAATAAGAATCTTTTCTCCATCCAATCAGAATGCAATTTTAACCCTCACAGTGCCAGAAATCTCCTGTAAGTAGTTATGACAAGCCTACAACTCCAGAACCAAGGCTGTTCTTCACATGTGGACAGGATATTAAGCAAAGACGCCCTAGGAATGCTGACCGCTACCTGCTCTATGACCCATGGAATCCTGGCCTTATGAGAGCAAGTATTATCGCTTCCAGGCAGGGCAGCAACATTGACAGATTTTATAATCTCGGAGAAAGGAGGCTCTCTGAAACTTAGAGGTATCAAAAGAAAAACATATTAGTGGTGAATTAGATGCATCTTCATGTCTGACCTCAGTAGGTAACTGATAGTTACAATAAAATAATTCTAGCAAACAACTATAATTCTAGCATTTATAGAGCCTCATGAAAAAAGTTAATTCTTTGTCATAATCATGATCCCAAGGTCATGATCCCGAGGTCCTGGGATCGAGCCCCGCTTCAGGCTCCCTGCTTGGTGGGGAACCTGCTTTTTCCCCTCTCCCTCTGCCTGCCGTTCCCCCTGCTGTGCTCTCTCTCTCTCTCTGTCAAATAAATCAATAAAATCTTAAATAAAAAAGAAGTTAATTCTTTGTCTTAATGTTGTATATAGATCTCCCTTCTTTAACCATATAAGGCTATATTTATATACTAATAAACATCTCTCTTAACTACTAAATAAGAGTGGAAATAAAACAAACCATAAACTAGCCATATACAATCAGAAAATTTAAAAAGTGGCACAAAGGCACAGCCTAAAGGCTATGGTAGACGA